TCCTCCATTAAGTGACTATATTTAAACTCCTTTTATATGTGTATATATTTTAAACTCCTTTTATATGTGTATATATTTTAGGAAGCTTCTACAATATTAGGTTTCTATATGACTCTTTGAAAGGCCTTTAGTGTTATTTGTCCCTTCCCATAGTCCCTCCTTTACCCTACCTTCCCATTCCCTCTCCATTTAACTATCTCCTCCTCATTGCTTTACATGCTACATTCTATTTCCCCTTCTTTAGAGAATCCCCTCCTCCTACCTGTTCCCTTACTATCTGTCTAATGTCTTTGAGTGTTCTAGATCATACACATATATACCTAAAGCTTAAAAGCTAATGACCATACATAAATGAAAACATGTGGGGCTGGAGAGATGGCCCCAGAGAGCACGTGCACTTGCTGCTCTTGCAGAAGACCCAGGTTCGATTCCCAGCACCCCAATGGTAGTTTATAATAATCCATAATTCCATTTTCCAGAGATCCTATTCTTTGCTGATCTCAGTGGACAGGAAGCATGTATGTGGTGTATATACATACACTCAGGCAAAACACATACACAAAATAAGATTTATTTGCATAAATAACAAAATTTTTTAAAAAGAGCAAATGTGTAATATTTGTCTTCTTGGGTCTGGTTTCCTCACTCAGGGTGATTGTTTTTAGCTCCATCCATTTACCTGCTAATTTCATAATTTCATTCTTCTTAACCGCTGAATAATATTCCATTGTGTAAGTGTACCACATTTCCACCATTGATTCCCAGTTGACGGGCATCCAGGTGTCTTTCCAATATCTGCTCTATTATGACTAGAGCAGCAGTGAACACGGTTGAGCAAGTGTCTCTGTAGTAGGATGCAGAGTTCGTTGGGTATATGCCCAAGACTGATACAGAGGGAATCCTGTGGTAAATTGATTTTTAGCTTTTTGAGGAAGCCAACACAATGAGGCCAAGAGCCTGAGACTAGATAGATCATGAGCCCTGGAAAAGTCTGCTATTATTGTTCTGCTAAAGGAAGACAGCAGCCAAATGACTCCTAGTGACATTCTGCTACACGCATAGATCAGTGACTCGCTCAGCCTCTTACAGTGAATGGCAATGAACAGGGAGACCCACACTTGGACAGTGTGCAGAAGTGAAGGACTGTGGAGCACTCAGTCCTAAATGGGATGTCTTTATTAAACTCCTCCTCTCCAGGCTCAGAGATGTATAAGGAAGAGAAGGCGGCCTTAAATCGCCAAAAGATTGTAAGAGCCAGACATGGCAGATACACATATGAACTCCCAGAGTCTGTGACACATGCACAAGACCTGCACAAACTCAGGTCAGACAAAACCCCAGCACAAGGAAGGGGAATTGGGTACAGAGTTATATCCCTAGCCAGGAAGCTGTTTGCTATTTGTGCCTGCTGGGAGAGGGAAAATCAGTTCTCTTCAGTGAAGGGGCACTAGGTATATCAATCTCTCAAGAGCAGGCCCCAAGCCCAAGAGTAGCTGAACAACACAAGAGAGATCCTAGAGAGTGTGTGTGTGTGTGTGTGTGTGTGTGTGTGTGTGTGTGTGTACACGCGCGGTGGCACACGCTTTTTTGTTTTGTTTTTAGAACAAAAGAACATGGACGTGGATAGGTGGGACTATCTGGGAGGAATTAGGGGAGAGGAAAGAGTATGATCAAAATATAGTCTATAAAATTCTTTTAAAAATTAAACCGTGACACATGCCCTTAATCCCAGCACTCAGGAGGCAGAGGCAAGCCGATCTCTGTGAGTTCAAAGCCAACCTGGTCTACAGAGTGAATTCCAGAACAGCCAGGGCTACCCAGAGAAACCCTGTCTCAGAGACAGAGAGAGAGAGAGAGAGAGAGAGAGAGAGAGAGAGAGAGAGAGAGAGAGAGATGGCTCTCCTTTGAGAAGTCCACACCTAAGTTCTTGGGTGGTTTACTTTATTCCTAAACACCTTCTGTCTCTTATTAAACTCCAACTGTTTCATGTGTTTCGTGTGTACGTGTGTGTGAGGAGGGGGAAGAAGAAGAAGAAGAAGAAGAATTAAAAAAATTTGCCAGGCAGTGGTTGCACACACCTTTCGTCCCAGTACTCGGGAGGCAGGGCAGACAGACCTCTGAGTTCAAGGCGAGCCTGGTCTACAGAGCTAGTTCCAGAACAGCTAAGGCCACACAAAGAAACCCTATCTTGAACAAACAAATGAACAAAAATTAAAAGGAGAGAAAATGAAGCAATCTTTTCTTCTTTTAGAATTCTTATAGAATCTGAATTTCTCTCAGACCCTGGTTTACAGACCTTACCTCTTAGAGATCACAAGCCACCCTTGAAGAGTGGAATGAAGTTTTGTTTCCCCCCTCGAGCTGGAGCAGCTCGTCCATGTTCTCAGTCTCTTCTTTCTGTCAGCAGAGAAGCTGTCCTGTGCTGCAGCCATTCCTCAGCCAGGGTAGACCTCCAACCCCTGCAAGAAGACACCTGGCTACACCAAAGTCTATCCTAGAGCCACCTACTTGATGAGGAGACACTGGCTAACGTACTTGATGAGGAAACCCTAACTAACATACTTGATAAGGAGACCCTGACTAACTTACTTGATGAGGAGACCCTTGTCTCAGTGTCCTCTGAGGCACTTATTCAACCAAGAGGCTTGCAAGACCTACTAAGGCGTGACCCCATGTTTGGCAAGGGAAGGTTCTGGGCTGGGCACCTGTGCTCAAGCAATCCTGGAGCCCATTCAGAGTAGAAGCACAGTTTCAGGGATTGAGGCAAGCCTCTGGGCTTAGTCCCCAGTTATGGCCTGCTTTGTTCTGGTGTGCCTTGGCTGTTTGATATCAATCTTCCTAAGCTTTTGCTTCCCATTGCTTGAAAATGAGAATAATAATCATAAAACCTGTGGAAAGAGTTATTGAGACCAAAGGAGATTATCCATGAGTGTGCTTGGCACAGTCTGTTACACAGGAAATGTTCAATAAAGGTTAAAGGCCAAAATCGGTGCCCAACTATATTTCAGTCACAAAGGGCGATGAGTGTGTGTGTGTGTATGTCTGTGTGTGAGAGAGAGAAATGGCAGGCAGGCAGCAGGCCTGAAGAATCAAGGACTAGAATTCAGAGGAATGGGATGATGTTCGACAGGTCAGACACCTCACCCAGGGGTGAAAATCAGCAGGCTAGAGAAGCAGCCTGTCTCTAGACAGGTAACAGCCCAGGAAGAGCCACAGAGGGCCTAAGTGCAAAGTACAGAGGGTGCAAAGCAAACCTCCATGTAGTGTTCAGAGCCAAGGCTCCACCAAGCCTGAGTAGCAGCCATGACTCTTGCCAATGCTAAGCAGCCTGAGCAAAGGGACTATCTGTCTTCCTTCCAATGAAGAGGCTAGAGCTAGGTAAGGGCTTCAAGCACAACAGAGCCAACTCAAACAGGACCACCAGGAACTGGTCTCTCACTCGCAGAGCCGCTTGCTTCTATCACAGCCTTATTCCCCGGCTAGATTGTTCTGCATAGTGGCAAAAAAACCTCCTATAACAACCCAGCCCCCTCTTTTGAGAGCACTAGCAAAAGTC